GGTCGAAACGTCGGTTTTAAAGATATTTTAACTTCGGAAAATCCCAGAAACGATTCAAGAAATTTTAGTTTTTACAAAGATGACAGGTGAAAGTTTAAGGAATACGATGTTAATTTTACTTTACAAAAGCTTATTTCTAACTAATTATCCTATCTACATGAGGTATATGTTTACTTTCCGTAATACCACTTATAATTTACGCGGTAACTACATTCTGAAACTCCCTGTTGCTAAGACTAGTTCTTATGGACTTCGCTCCTTTTCTTATCATGCCATTAAACTATGGAATTCACTACCGGACAAAGTTCGAACCTTGAACCTTAATGACTTTAAAAAAGCATTAGCTAGCCTTAAATTAATGTAATTTTAGAACATATTATAAATTGAATTCATACTGTATTTTTAAATATTTAGTAAATCTATTTATTTCATTTTAGCCGCTAATTCATAAAAAAGATTGTATTGTATTTCATAATGTGATTGTATATTATGTTGATTTCTTTTGAAATTTGTTATTTTCTCTTGGAAAAATTAGTTTCTATAAGCTACTCTTAAATTCGAGAAAAAATAAAGTTTATGTAGGTATGCATGTGTGAGAGAAGGACTGAATAGTTTTTCTTATACGAAGTAGGCGTCGGCCACGAGGTTATTGTTTTCGAGGTGTGTTTTGAGTCGTCGAATAAAAAGCTACTATCTGCGTGTAGAATTTAGTTTCGCGGATTAAAGCGTTAATTGTCGACTTAGAGACATTTTCTTATATATGTATGCTCTTTTGAGTCTCATGAGTGGAACTTTGAGGGACTGGGGGAGAACTTTTGCAGTAAATGAAGCATGACTGTCCTTAAAGTGCTACTGCGACGAAATTTTTGCATTTTATTTTCCCAATTTTAACTTCACATTTAGACCCTAAACTATAAGAATAAGCGTAAGTTTCTCAGATTTGACAAAGTTATTTCTTAAAAACAGCGCCGCGAAGACATTAAAAATTCTTCCGCCATTGCTCGAATAACACACTGGAGAGCCCGCGAAAATAACTACAGCGGTTTTAGTTGTGACGTCATCGACTCACTTCGACAACGTCGCGAAGGCATGCCTTTACAAGAAATACGCAAAAGAAAGCTGGGGAACAATTCTTTCGAATTTTATTCCTTCTTTCCTGCGGAACCAGAAAAACAACTCTCTCTCGGCATACCAAATTAGCCACGTTTGTTGAGTCGTTTATGTCACTTCCGTTCTCGACCCAGTTTCTTTTTCTTCGCGCGGAGGTCTGTAGTTGAATGAATGAATGAATGAAAAACTTTATTTAAGTGTCTATGTTTTTAGCAATAAGCTAATGGGGGACACTAAAAAATTTAAAAGTCAAATACATTTACATATGTAGATAATAGTTATTTACAGTAGATAATTAAAAAGATTATTAAGTTATTTAGATAAGTTTTAAATTTGAACGAGAGTTGAAAGATCGACTTTTCTTATGTTCTTCTTGAACAAATTTAGAGTTTCTATCGTTCTTAGGTGTCTTGGTAACTTCGACCAGATGAGAGGTCCTATATACTTAATAGAATTCCTACCAAATCTTACAGTTTCGAATCTTGGCAGTTCGAAGTCACTGTTCCATAAATTATACTGAGTTCGAAGAATGGCGGCCGTTTAGATCGCGAATCTACAGGTAAAATAATATTACTTCTCGATGGAGTTTTGCCTTAAGATTTGGCAAATTTGTTACCTAGGGTAAGTACTTTTAACCTCTGAGGAGAAAAGAAAAGGTGCATTTTTGGTCGGAGTAGCACTTTAAAGAGCAGCATTATTTCTCTTTGTTCTTGTAGGTTTAAATGACAGCGCAGAGTATTTGTGAGGCAGTAATAAACTTGAACTGCGACGGGATAATAATAATAATAATTTAACAATTTATATGGCGCGTATTTACATGTGCTGATCAATAGCGCTTTACGATCACATGAAGCGGTAATATTACATGTTGTTGTAAAGGTTGAGATCGGACGTCAACATTTTATCAGGTGCCTCTGGCAGCTGCTTCAGAGCATGTAATGATCTCACCTTCTCACCCATCCCACCCCTGGGGAGGAAATCCATCACACAGTAATCTCGTGTGTGGGAAATTAACGTCTCCTACCCCTAACCCTGCAGGAGAAGGGACCTACGGCTTTACGTCTTATCCGAGAAGAAGAAGCAATGTGAGTGAACCCCGGCCATCCGACTCAGAGTCCAGCGCCCTGACCGCTGGACCCCTCACGCCTCAATACAGAGATGAATCTTGATAGCTGACTCAACAAGAAAACTCTCTCAACGCGTGAAACACTCCACTGTCCTCAGAAGAGTAACGCGAAGGATTTTAAAGGTTCAGACACGATCCAAATAAATCAATTGTCTCGAAATCGGAGTTAGGTTTCAATGTATGGCAGTCACTGTGGCCACGTCGTGTAATAGAAAGAAACGACTTGAAAATACAGAGATTATGTAGACTACATTAGTAGACATGCCCTGAGGCTAGATCTTGATTTTTGAAAAGAACTTTATTCTCTAACACAAGTAATCTCTACATCTACTTCATGTGCTTAGGTGGCAGAGTCGATCCTGTTTCGGCAACTTTTCTCATTGCCTTTTATTCCTCTTAGATGCCCTAAAAAGAGATTTTTTTTCATTGTTAATAAATCTGATTGGCTTGTAAAAACATGTGTGCCATGTTGTAAGATTGACAGTCAGTTTCATGCCCTGCCAGAGCTCAGCTAGTCGTTGAGCACCCTATGGTTGGAGGGTGGTTGAAATTCCAAAGCAGTAGGCTTAGGAGCAGCTGCAAAAATCAGCTGGCTAGGTTTTTGCCTGAAGGCAGGTATCGCCCTCCAGCATTTGCGATGTATCACTGAGCCCTTCACTTGCCGTCGTTTGTAAGTACTGAGGCGATATATCGTTTCTACTGAACGATATATCACCGCTGCTCAGCAATATATGATTTACGCCCGTCGAGATTTCTCTGCGATATCGTGTTGTCTTGGCAAATGTGCTCGTTAAACTTCAGGTCTACTGATTAAGTTTGCAACGGACAAGTGAACTTTGGTAACGAGCAGACTTTCTTTACTTCTCCGTCTCAGTGCCTTTTGCCCATCTTTGATTCCCTACAGTCATCAAAATCCCATCAAGCCTGCATAACAACCTAATACACGACAAAATCTTTGCAGATAAGAACGCTACTAGCATTTCTTGTATATTTTCCTTTATCTAACACTCACTAAAAAGTTGTTCCATCTCACCTTAATTGGACAGCCGTACAACTCAGCACGCATGCTGATATGGCTTTGCCAAGTTAAAGGCTGGATTCGGACAAACCGGGCATGAATTGGTGGGAAGATCTGGTGGACAATAATGGTACCGCGATCGAAATTGCCCCGAAAAACCTGGAAAAATAAAGGTTTTCAATTCAAAGTACTATGGTCGTGTAAGAAGTCACTGAAAACTTACTCATATCAATTTTGGTTATTAAAGAATATGACTTCTATCACCATGGCAGGTGTGAAGAAGAAAGTAACCATGATGTGTGGTAACATTTCGGTGGCTTGGATTCCAATTGTGAGAAGAGTGTCTATTCTGAAACAGAACTACATTATTTCTCCTCAGAATGTTTACTATTCGTCTTTATTGGTAACATTGATTGTTTTGGGACCATAAAACTGAAAACAGCCTTACGCTATCGTTTAGAATGCGAAGGATCCCTTTCGATTCCCCAGTACATTTAAAAGCTCGCGAGCGCGAGAATACCGGAATATCAGACGTCTTTCTAACTGGAACACTGGCAACAACAGTTACCCAAAGCCACCAATTCTGTGGGCTACAAGCCCTTGGAAATTTTCAAAAGAAACAACAATTTACCCAAAGAGCTAAATGTAAAAATTTATCACGACTGAGAAAAAATTTGGTTACCATCTTATTACCACGCACAGTGTACTGGACCCAGTAAGAGCCGGACAGGCTGTAAAATAATGAGTAGCTTGTTATCCATTGAGAGTAATCCTGCCTTCCTTGAGTAGCTACTTTTGTAACGGTCGTGAGAGTCCCAAGATCAATCTGCAGCCATTGATTGACGTCGTTTTTCTTGGCACACCAGGAACCCACTTTACCTGACGCAGCCGCAAGATTCAAGCGGCCTAAACTAGCAGCGTGGGCACTGCTAGCAATAGTTGAGGCAGACATGGCACTGGCTGAAACTCGGCCATCTTCCAGTCCGAGCGAAAGGGAACAAAGCGATCCTTAAAAATAAAAGCATGGACTTTTTAACTACAAGAATGATTAGCATGTTGTTTGTTTCTAAATTTCAATAAATACTTTATTTACTCAATTACTTGCCGCGGCAGTTTATGCTTTTTTTTCGCTATCGAGATGGCGTCCTTTGAAGACCATACATTTTTCGGCAGCGGCGTTTCTTTCACAACTATGTTTCTTAACTATATGTCAGCAAAAACGATAAATCATTAAATTTTTTGCACATAAGAATGCTTCCTTAACTCATAATCCCAGACAAAACGCTGCATTCTTATGACTCGGCGCGGCGTTTAATCGAGTTAAGACGGTATTGCAGCAGACGGTGATAAAAACAGACAACTTCAGCTTTAGGGTGTTCTCTTGATGTAACAAGAAATCCCTTTACTTTCTACACTGAGAAAAGACAGGCAAAGTTGCAAGGAGGGAAAATTGTTCATCGGATGTAAGGAGTCAGTGGGTTTATGTTCTGCGATTGACAAGTTCCCTGCTGATTGAAAATCAGATAGAGAAGATCCTTTCAGTAAGACAAATATTCACAAATCAATGAAAATAATTTTATATTTTCTGAGGAAGATTTATAGACAGCCTTTATGTTTTTGAAACCATATCTTTTTTCGATATGAAAGATCTTTAACATATCAAAATATCTGATTTCTTCCATTTTTACAGTGAAAAAAGAATCATAGCATTAATATCTTTGTATTTCATTAGTCAGAATTACCTTCCTGGCAACCATAAACCTCTGCTCTGGTGCAGATGTGACGATCCCATGTCTTGGGGTGGAATCGAAGATATTTGGCTTGAATTGGCAAATGGAGGGAATGATAAACTGGAGTGTTGCGGTCGATGTTACCACCAAGCACCTGTCATGTATGATAAGATATAAATTATTGAATATTAGTCCTTCTTTATCAAACAATAATAAAAACCTTCATAACTGAGGAATAAGCTGAGCAATCAAGGCTAACAAAACTACAACAGACAAAACCATTTTACTTATCTTCGGTATTCTAAAAGTTTCTCTCAGCGTAGACAAGGATTTGATATTTAGGCCACCAAGTTCTCTATGGGTGACAGTTTTCAACTTTTTCATAAGCTTACCGTTACTGCAAATCAAGTGTGTCCGTCAAAGCTATCGCTCTTACCTTGATATGTCCATCCGAGAGTCTGTACCAGGCCCAGTGAGAGCCATCCACACTGTATGACAAACTGTAGCTCATCAATCTGTGATCGGCGTCATACCTCCCCTGAGTGGCCACTTTTGTCACAGTTGTTTCCCGCCCAAAGTTGACCTGTAGCCATTCGTTACCATTGTTTGTACGTGTGCACCAGGCCCCTGCCTTACCTGAACTGGGAATCTTATTGAGTCTCGAGAACTGCGGGATGTGCCTAGCGTCATAATACGTCGATGCTGATATTGCACTGTCGGGAAGATGGCCACTCTCCATACCAAGAGGTAGAAAGCAACTTCGATCTGTTTGATGATATAAGTAAGTATTTAAAAAACAGTCCGACACATCAAATGCAGATTTTTATGATTTTTATGAAATCCTCGAGCTGCAACACACGGCCAAAGCTAAAACAGACACATGCTTTTTAGTACTCAAACGATTTACCTTGAAGGGGGAGTACTCTTCGCGAAACTAGGCAAGAATTTGAATGGCAATAGATACAAATCTAGAAGAAGCAGACACTACACTTGATTTCTAACCTCAATTAACCAAGGCTATCGTTTGCATCACAAGAGTTTCTTAATTTCTCTTATTTCTTTTGTAGGAGTTGTTTGCACATTCAAGAATGTTATCGAGATCAAAATCCCACGGTAAAGCAAAAACTTCTATGAAATTCTGCGCGAAGCAGTAAGACCCGTTTTCGAATTTCTTGTACAGGTTTAAAAAAAAAAAAAAAGCATTGTGCATAATAATGCTCTGGAATTTTAAACAGTTGGTAAGCCCTATTGATTAAAGGTGAGCTAGAAGGAATTTTTTTTTTCAATTGAATTCATTCCTAAGTCTAAATTTGATTCATTTCTTTTAAAAAGGTGAAAGTCACAAAATGGCTGGAAGTTAGGAGATAAACATGGGCTTCCCCGGCCGAAAATTTATTACTTCGGACTTCTGTCATGTTACCATATGAGAAAAGGTCGTATTATAGACACCTTTTTTTTATTCATTTATTTACGCTTTAACGAGAACAATTTTTTTGGCAGTCGATTACATCGTAAATTTTCATAGGAAAGCTTAGAAAAACTACTTCGACGCTTGAAAAGGGAACGTTGCTACAATATCGAGCGCCTGATCATTTACGAGGCAGGAAATTGATTTTGACAACTTTAAGCATGATGATGCCTTAAATCACTCACTTACCTTCTTAGCAGCCATAAATCTCCACTCGCATACTGATGTGGTTTTTCCAGCCTTTCGGATGGAAACGAACGCTTCTGGCAAACACCCTGATATCTGGACTGAAGATATGTTTGACAACTGTTTTCCTGTCGCTATTTGCAAGAAATGTCTACAAATAGAGGCGATAAGTTCATGAGGCAGTCCTACCGGAGGAAGTGGCTCACGATCTTGATTTATTTCACGACTACGAGTACTTTATTTACCGGTTTAAGTCGGGCTTAATTTGGAAACATCGTCCATTAGTTCTTAAGTGTGAGTCGGCCTGTGTCATCAGGCCATAATCGAAACACCGGGTACGGTTTTTCTTAATACGGACCTGCTTGATGTTATGATAAAGCTTAAATCTAACGCGCGCTGTCATTGGTTGAAAAGGAAATTACACTCGACTACATCTCGTGTTTCTTCCTACACTTCTTTCGTGCTCTGGCCGCTTCCTGCTTGCTTTACAACAAAACAGAGCACTGTTAAGGCTTCTCTATTTGTTAAATATTAATAAAGAAAAAACACGCATGGCCGTGTACACATAGCATGAGGCGTGCAGTTGCATTATTTCGACGAGGTCTGTCGATTCTAGCTGCAAGGTGTTGGGCTACTTCCCGAAAGCCAATTTTGCCAATGTTTATCTTTAGGTTTTTCTTTCTTCCTGCAAAGAGTACATGAAATGTAGTGGCTACATTTTACGTTTTTTAGTAAATGTTTTGATTTTATGCATCGTCAGTTTTAGATTAGAAAGTGGCTATATTTTGAGCTATTTAAGAAGACGTGATGTTGAGGAGGGCTGAGTAGCTGGAATCATTAGTCATTCGTTTTACAAAAGTTTACTTTTTTGACGAAAATGCACTTCATAACAATAATATCAGTAATAATGACGATAGTTATAAGTATAGGAATTAGGCAAAATAAGTCAACACAGTGTCAACAAAAGCAAGCAGTTACACATCAATAATCGAGCACATAGTCTAAAATTCTAAAATCGAGGGTCCAACAGAAAACCAATATTACAACTTCACATGGCAGGGTTAGTTTAAAAATTAGGGGGAAATTAAAAGGGAGATAAAAGACAAAAGTAGATGACTTTATTGTTTGCGTTTTCTGATTACCTTCACTTGGCTGTTTTCCTTGATAAAAACCCAGATAAAGTCGTCTGCAGTGTAAGACAATGAAAAGCTTGTAACCCACTGATTATGATCGTGTCGACCCTGAGTGGCCACGCCACGTAAATTAAACAGACGTCCAAGATTTACCTAAAAAAAAAAGAGGAGCATTTTCATAGAAAAAAAAAACACTTCTTTATGATATATTCGAAAAACTGAGCCGATATTGTGTATGGATTAGTACTAAATTCTACTCCATGTGAATCCGCGACGCATGGTACGGGGAAGAATACACTCGCATGTCTTTTCTTGTTATCATTTATTTCACCTCCCGTCTAACTGATGTGTTTAACTCTACATCATTCTGTAAGCAATTTCAAAGCAAATTACTTTAACAGACAATTTTGATATCTGGGTAATGTAATTATTTTACGAGACGTGTATCTTTCCAGTAAATTATCGATTGCTCACCTTGGAGTGCACGCAAGGAAGTTTAGCCCCAGTTGGAAATTCTGTTGGAACGACCTCCCTCTTTACAGACTTTCCTCTATTTTATTTCACTTTATATATTTTATTTTGTTCAATATTAACCATTTTACTTGATTCTATTCTTCATGAGTGATGCGTATGTTGTGAATGTGTGTTGTTTTCTCTTTCTCTATATGTGATTTATATTCAAAATGAGCCAATGGGCTTAGTTGATGACAATCACCTAGGCACTAATTAGTCTTAACTCTACCGTGCACAGTACAGGAGGCTATGAAGGGAGACTTTTGATGCCTCATGCTTCTGAGAAAGGAGTGAGGGGCAAACATATATCGTGCCCTTTTCCGTCCTGCTCTATTTTGTATTGTATTTTCTTCTTTTTTTCCTGACCGTTGTGTTATGACCTTCTACAGTCTGCTAACTGTTAGAAATCCGTTTTCATATAGATGGGGAGAAACACTGAAGAAAAAAAATCCGAGACATCTAAAGTGAAGATTAGGCGAGAGAAACCCCATATGTTGCTTCTGTTCAGGCACTCTAAGTACTTGGAAAATCCTATTTATTTATTACCATCATGGTTAAGCGCTTTTGCTTAAAGTGTCATTTCATACCCATCAGACGAATATACGAGTCTTCAGTTGATCAACTGCGAAAGTCAATGGCTTTTCAGCATAGAAAGTCTCGAGTGAGACTTTTCTGGATGATTTTAACACCTCATTGCTTACGTTCCACAGTTCTTGTACATGTAATTATTCCATATCCATCAATTTATGAAAATTGTTGTGCAGTATTATGAACTTTCACGTACCTGTAGCCACTGATTAGCATTATTCTGACCGGCTGCCCAACAATGTTTCCCGCCACTTGGTGCTAAGTTTAGTCTGCCTCTATTTGGGAGGTAGCTACTGCTGGCTGAAGATGAGGCAGAAAACGCTTCATCAGGAATTCTACCGTCTTCCACTCCCACAGGCATCAAACAGTTCTTGACTGTAGAAAGCGAATAAAACTATAAGAAACAAGCATACTGAAACCATTTTGAAAAATTCACAAACATCTTAAGAAATGGTCATACGATAAACGGATTTGCCGCGGGAACGGAGCAAAGAAAGTCGCAGTAGATCGTAAGTTGGCTCAATCCGCTCAAGCCCTGATATGCGCACTTTGTGTGCGCATACAAAGTTTACCAAAACTAACCAAAGCTGACCAATAAATAGGCCCACAAAGTTGCAAATGAACACAACTGACATTTGGAATACAACGGATATGACTCGCTCTCGGAACAATGTGATCACTAAGCGATGACGTTTTGCATAAAGATAAAATCATAGTCGATCGCTAAGCCACAAAACAACAATCCTTTACATATCTAAAACTAAGTTATTGAGGGGCCCATACTGGACATTTTTCAGTCGTTGAAAAAGTAGGTGACACTCTAGACCAAGACGAGCCGAAGGGTAGGCGGAATATAACCAATTTAATCAAACTAAATTGAAATTGTAAATTGGCCACCGTAACGAGTAAAAAAGTTGACATTTCGAGCGTTAGCCCTTCGCTCTGACGAAGGGCTAACGCTCGAAACTTCAGTTTTTTACTCGTTACAGTGGCCAATTTACAATTTCAACTTGGTATATATAACCAAATTACCTTGTTACCCCCACCGACGCAGCACCACAGTTGTTTTAGAAACTTTCAGATTTTTATCAATTTAATCAAATATGCTTTTATTGCATATCTACTCAACTCACCTTTACGACATCCATACAACTCAACCCTGAAGCAAGGTCCATTGTGATTGTGTGTCCTTGGATGAAACCGGATGGAGCGAGCCTCGATGTGAGGCTTCAAGGGGTGTACGATGGCAGTATTTCTATCTGTATTCCCAGCAAACACCTGAGTTAACGAGAAAATTATATTGAACTCACCTGTGTTAAAACAAATATATCACACTTGAAGTACGTTGAATTTTGACGCCTTGACCATTTTCGGCTGCAATGAACACCTCATAATACTCTAATGTCGTTTTTCGGCTACAGTTGTCGATCAATCAATAATCAATCAATCAATACTTTATTTACCCACGTATCGTAGAGGAGCTCGTACAGCTCGTGCAAAATACATTCGTGCCTGTAAGATTAAGAATCTAAAAAACCTAATACATACAGTCAAGACCTAATAGATTAGAAATTGCAATAACTTAAAATTAACATTAAAATTTAAGTTTGTACATTTAAATTGGTCCATGAATTATTCCTCTTTCCTCATCAATGATTTAGTAATAAATACCTCGCGCTTCAAATAACAGAAATTATGATAATTATGACTGCCAAAGCTCTGGTATGTCATATAATAATAAGAACTAGCGTTCCATCTTTTACTAAGTCAGCCTAGCTTACTTTTTCCACAGCACGTTGTTTGTAACTAGTCCAATGTAGTCCGTCCACACTGTATGAAAGAGTGTATGTTGTAAGTCTGTCTTCACTACTATATCGGCCTTGAGTTGCTACTTTGGTTAATGCGGTGACTTCCCCCAGATCTATCTGAAGCCATTGGTTTTTACTCCCCTTTTTCGGGCACCAGGCCCCTATGTGCTTGCCATCCGACAAAAGGTTTAGTCTAGCAAGCGAAGGCCGGTGTCTATTGTCAACGCTGTTGGACGCAGTAAACGCACTGTCAGGAATTCGTTTATCTTCCACACCCAGTGGCACTGAGCAGCTGTGAACTAAGAAAATTGATTAATAAGGTGTTAGTTCCATGCCTGTGAACACCTAAACGTGATGAAAAGCCGAGTTAACAACAGCAATAAATATGCATTCCATTGCAGAGGGCCACTTGCTCTCCAGTTGAAATTCTACTATGTGTTGACCACATCAAATAGAGCTGTATCTTTCTTTTTTCTTTCTACGACTACTACTATTATTGTTATCATTATTATCAATATTATTACTATTTCAAATCCGTCACAGGTAAGTTTTGATTTCCTTCAAACTGAAAAACATATCTGCCCTTGTTTGTGCAGTTCTTAAAATCAGGGAAGACCACTAGAATAAGGACACTATTTACTTAAAGATAACATCAGTTATTAAAACATTGCAAATAAGAGATTGGAAGGGAATCATAAGAATTGTTGATGGTACATTACCCTCCTGTAAAACGATGCCGTAATAGTAAGTAGTGAGAAGGTTTTGTTAAATCAACTTAAAATTTCTGAAAAGAGAACCTACAGGCTTTGATTAGTTTTGGCACCCACCTTTCCTACAGCCATAAACCTCTGCCCGCATAGATGTATACCCATGGTAAGTCCTTGGGTGAAATCGAATGAGGCGAGCATTGAATGGTGACAGAAGAAGGTGCTCCACGACTGTGTTTCTATCCTTGTTACCTGGGAATACCTGAAAAGTCCAAAACAAAGTCAGTTCCTACATGATAACGAAATCCAACTCAAAACTAATGTCACAACGTTGGTAATTCGCTTCAATATCCACGATCAATTATTTGAACCTTTTACTTTTTTTCGGAAACAAAACACTTAATAACCTTCCAAATCGACGAAAATAATTTTTCAAAAAATTTCTCGCTTACCCATGTGACACTGTTTTCTTTGTACTCGGCCCAGTGCATCCCATCTACACTATAAGACAGAGTGTACTTCGTTACCCATTGATTAGAGTCTTGTCGCCCCTGTGATGCCACTTTTGTCACTCGTACCAGTTCCCCAAAGTCTATCTGAAGCCACTGTTTGCCATCATTAGCACCAGCCGACCAAGATCCGTATCCTTTGCTGTTTGACTGTATGTTCAATCTGGAACGTGCTGGACCACGTTTTTTGTGTGCGCTTGAAGAAGCAGAAAATGCAGCGTCTGGTACATGACCGTTTTCCAAGCCAAGAGGAAGAGAACAGCGGTAGACTAAAAAATATGTGAAACAGAGAAAGAAAGGTTATCAACACTTAGTGATAAAAACGAGTGATAAAAAATATGAATGACGTTTCGACCGCTCCACGGTTATTTTTAAGTTAGAGTTCATGAGTAAATTTCCGCATATATACAATTTCTGAAACAATGGAATGAGGGTAAAAGCTAAGTATTTACAAAATAATAAACGTGTGAAGGAGCATAAACGATCGGTAATCGGCAACCATGTAAGAGAACATAGAATCGAACCATGTGAAATCACAAAGAAGTTTAGGGTCCCGAGGAAATGCTCAAACAAGTTCGATTGTTTGATTTTCGAAATGTTTTTTTATTTGAGACCTTAAGCCAAAATTGAACAAACAGAGCCATTCTATTCGCGCGAAGCTGTTTGCTTAACACTTCATATTAATTAATTTTCATCCTTTTCATCGCTCATTTACACTTCACTTTTGCACTTTGTTATTAGTTATTAGCTTTATTGTTTTTATGTAAATACTTAGCTTTTACCCTCATACCATTGTTTCAGAAATTGTATATATGCGGAAACTTACTCATGGACTCTAACTTGAAAATGACCGTGGAGCAGTCGAAACGTCGTTCATATTTTTTATCGCTCGTTTTTATCACTAAATGTTTTAGTAAGAACTTATTACTTTGTATCAACACTTTGTTAAAAGATTCCTCTGCTTTAAAATTCATGGTGAGCAACACTGAGCATTTGTATAGTGTATGTCACAAATACTCGTGCATTAAAGAAGGTTTCTTGACACGAAAATACTTTGTGCTTTAAAGCTCTGACCCTTGAATAACAATGCATTTTAGGAAGATGTTTCACTCAGCTTAAGTTCCATTCAAGTGGAAGTGTAGGATTTCGAAGCCAATTATGAATTTATATATATTCCTTAAATAATAGGCCACGAAACTAATCGGTAGATTCTAAAGGCACGATAGGGGTAAGGCTAGACAACTGATCAAAATAATTATGTTTCAAAACTTCAACATACGACCTAAACTCACTTACCCAACAAGGGGTTTATATAAACACTCCTTTTCTGGAGAGACAGTTTGCCTTCTTCGTGTTTTTCATTGGTGGAATGTATCTGAGAGGTGAAAGACATTAATTTTATAAATGAAAATAGTACAAGTTTGTGGGTTTCCATTGGCCAATCAATTAGCTGTAAAAAGTCAACAAACACGAAAAATTGTAGCCCTTTTTGTACAGTATCTTCAAGAATGCCTTTAGTTGCAGTAAGAATACAAAAAGTAGCACAAGTATAGCCAAAACCTATAGCAATACCTCTTCGTTATCGTTGCAGTAATATATTTGATAAAGCTAAACCTTCAAGACTGACTAAAACTTGGGTAGTATTTTTACATATCAAGGAAATGCATAGCACAAATAATAAACAGAATACTAGTATCTTTTGTATGTAGTAGTATGCATCCTTCCCACAAGCCACCTTTCGTTATTTCTTTTATATTGTATTACTTTCTCAATCCTTCCAACATGAAAGGCGTTTTGAAAAATTTCTCATTGTGTTATACTTGTATGCTATCCTTTCCTCGTATTTCTACCTTTTGGAAATGCTTGGAATTTTGTGGGATGAAATGCTCCACCCGTCACACTTTTGCCCATATAGACCTGATTTTCGAAGGCCCAACTCCTTCCAATCTCTACCCCCTGGAGTTAGTTTAGTGGAGGCCCACTCCCTCCAGTCAGAGAGGAGGCCAAACTCCCTCCTCTTTAACAAGGAATGTTCACGGTAGCCCCGATAGAAAGTTAACTCTCTTCTCTTCATCACTTGAGTACACCTCATCGAGTTGTAGTTTTTGTTTTCTTGGTACGCCAGGGGTCCATGGGGCAAAAATGTTAATCGAGCACTTTGTCACCCACTTCCCCATTTTCAGCCACACAAAGCTGTTGTTGTTTTATATTTTCAAAAAAAAAAAAAACATGGGGAAGTTGATTAAGCTAATTCTATGATATGTTTTGATGCTTAGTATAGGTATAATAAAACTGTAAAATTTCTTGCTCTTGGCTTTTTTAGCCGTGATACTTGATTCCGCCTAAGCCCTCATAAAGAGCGTGTCCACGAGAAAACCAGGCAGAACCGGGCAGGGGCGATAAAGCTCAAATTACCAATTTGGCTCAAACTTGGCACAAATGCTAAGTATCATGAATCAACAAATGCGTGAAAATGAAAGGTCAAAACATTTAATTCCCTGGGAGATATAGGATCCCCCTGGACAAGCCCCTATTTCCTGCAATTTTTGCATAATTAATTAGCTAACTTTGGATTGCTATTGTGACAAATTGAAAATCCATCTGCAAATTCGATCAATTGGGTTGTGTTCAATATCTATCAGACTTCAAGAACATTGAATTTTTTAAACCTTTTCATTTCATTTCTTCCCTTAGGTCTCCCTTAAGTAAAGAGGACTTTTTTTTGGTTTTACATAGTCCAAAAATGAGGGTGTTTTAGTTTAGTTTAGTTTATTAGCTTAGCCAACCGGCAGGGAAACCGCAACAGCTTGCGCCAATTACTGCGGGCCCAGTAAACCAACCCATCCCACCGCAGGGGAGGACATCCATTTCACAGTAATCTCGTGCGTGGGAAATTAACGTCTCCTACCCCCAACCCTGCAGGAGACGGGACCTCCATTTATTTGTCCCTATCCGAGAAGACTAGAATATCTAACCATTTCTTGATGTTATAGAAAGGTAGC